GAAGGGGGGGGGGGGGAAGGAAAGGAAATATTAGTCATGACACGCTACCAAATCCTCTAAGTTAAATAGTTGTAAGTATATTATAAATGGGTATTCCACAAGCACAACAGACGCATGCTAGTTGATGTGAGTTATTAAAAACTCATCTGGAAATGTGCAGACTATAAGATCATGTTTTAAGCAATTTTAACTGAAAACACACACAGAGTATACACTCTAGCAGATAATTACACATGGAGGGAAACAGTTCGTGCAGAAAATAGAAAGGGTGTAGCAATTTTCCCTCTTTATCTAATAAAGAATTGTATGTATTCTAAAGGTACTTGCCATTTTCCTTTTAGAAAAGATTTTTTTTCTTGGCCTTGTGGGTCACCTACTTCTAGAATTCACTGTGATATGCAAACACCTCCAAATTTACAAAATCCAGGAGAACGTCGTTTTTAACAAACATCTCCCTTGTTCAAAACAACAGCTTACTAAAACAGAAAATAACAGAATCTCAGAGAAAATCTCTAACCCAGAAGACTGCTAGGGCAGCCCTTTCAAATCTGCAGCTCTTTTCTCCTTCTTCATTTTCTTCCCCAAACTACAGAGGCTATATTTAAAGGTCACATTTTCTCCATTTCCCAGGATACTCAGGAATTTGATACTACCTGAGAAAAGGGGTGAATTCCTCACTTCAAAAGATTGCTGACAAGTTTTGCTCAGGTAACGGGGTTGTTAAGTACTTTCTTCACCTGGGAATTCCACAGTCTTTAACATTAAAGAAACTCAGATGTCTGACCTACTTTTCCTTTTTTTTGAAAACTGAAACTCTACTTTTTCTTTACATTCTGTCTCTATTATGTTTGTGTGTATGTGCAGAAAGCAATCTTAAGTACGAGCTGCTACTTTTCAAAACCCTGTTCTTTTCTTGTCTGAGATGACTAATCTAGCTATAAAACTCTGCACCATCAATCCAGGAATCCTGAATCTGCCTTAGTGGCTTTTCAAGTTATTTTTGTGTACTTTGCTGGAGACTGGGAACTCAGTGCTGATAGGATGCTAATTCTCATTACTTGCGAGTAAGGCCGGGCTAAAACCTCGTTGTTTTTGTTTCCTAGAGAATGGACTGGGATCACATCTGCATTTTATAAAAGCTCCTGAATAGTTGCTGATCAACAACAACCAGCCGCCAAAGCTTTGCCTCGAGAAACTTGCATTGTTTTTCAGCTTGTGTTGCTAGATACTATGCCCTTGTAAAAAGTCTGGCTGACTCATTTAGAGTCTGAAGCTGAGTACTGTGCTTTGAACTGCTAGCACTAATTGTTGCTAACACCAGTTATAAGTAAAAGGCTCCTGACTGCATTATTTGGCTTCCTTGGCTCTTTAAAGGCTATTTGTTGTCATTTTAAGATGTACCAGTTTCTATGAAGCAGGGCGACTTCAGGCTAATAACTTTGCTGTAAGTCAAATATATATATATATTTTCTCTTTTCCTGGTTTCAGTATAAAAGCTGCAAAGGCACGAAAACAGCAGGGCAGGGTGGCTAAGGGAATTTAAAAGCTGCATGTGTAAAAAGTACTCATGCTATTTGCTCTCAGTTGCAGCACGGAGCATGTGTGTCAGGGTGGGGGGTTGCCTCTCTGCCACCCCGCTGAGCAGCACAGGAGATTTTCTGAGGGCAGGTGTCCTGTCCTGGTGAATCGGGAGGAGGTGACTCCTGTCGGCAACCCGAACCTCGGGTGACCCGGCTGGCCGTGCCTGGCGCCCGACAGCTTTCCCGGCCATTCCTAGAAGCTGCTGTTGATCTCCTGCCCGGGATCGCTTGTCTGTGACTCACGGCGACTCCTGCCGTCCCTCTCCCACAGTTTTCACTCGGGGCTATCGTGTGTCAAGCCAGCCTGCTCCTGCCAGCAGGTCTCCTAGGGCTCGCTTGCCCACACCTGGGTCAGCGGGCGCCGCGGTGGCCACCCTACTGCGGCTCATGCGCGGGCCGGGGCACGCGCAGCTCTGACGCCCGAGCGGGATGTGCTCCGAGCCCAGCATGAACGGGTGAGCTGCGCCGAGAGCCCTGCGAGCTGCCGGGAAGGAGGGGACTGTGGAGGAGCTGGAGGGGGCTTGCGAGACGCTGTTGGTCCAGGACTGAGACTGGGACATGCGGCCTCAACGCCGTCTGCCTGTGCTTGGTTGTGCCCAGCGTACAGGGAGATGAGCATGAGAAGAGTAGCCAGCTACGTAGGAACCACTGGGAGACGCAGGCAAGATCGTGGGGTTCCTGTCCTCCGTGTGACACACAAATCCCTGTGGCCTTTGCTCGCGGTGAAGCGCGGACGGGGTCTCGCCGTACCGCAGCGCCCGCCATGACGGCAGCGCAGCCATGCCTGTGCCCTGGGCATTCCCCACTCAGACCAAGACCCAGGCACCGCACAGCTGGTCCGGTGCCTTGTGCCGTCCTCGGGGAGCGCCGCCAGAAGGGGAAGCCTGAGCAGCGCTCGGCTTGCATCCCAAGCAGTGTTTGATGTCACGGCGCGCTACCTTTGGCCCGCGGCATGCACTGGCTATCCAGTAACTTCCAGGCAGGGATCAAGTGGGCTCGTGCTCAGGCATGAGCTGCTTGGCACGTTCTGCCAGCAGAAGTGGCGATTCTCCTGTCTGCCCGAAGCACCCGTGCCCAATCCATAATGCTGATATAAAAGGGTCCTGGGGCAGGGTGCTCTGCAGGAAAGTCCCCAGCCTTAATAGCTACCCCTTTCCCCCAGATGCAAAATAGCTTGCATCTATTGACTTCAAGAGCAGTGCAGAGGTAGCTTATCTTGATGGATTCACTAACCCCCTTCTGAATTGCTTCCTTGATAGACTACTAGAGTGCACAGAAAGATAAGAGCAGAGTAGGAAGAGAAAAATAATGTAGCAGGCAAAGGGCTTTGCTAGGGTTGGGGAGTTGTGTCCTCTGAGGGCTTAATGCCAGGTTGATCTGGGAAACACATGAGTTTCTACACCCCAAGATAAAACGAGGAGAGCTCAGCAAAGGCACAGGTGCAGAACGCAGAGCTCAAGGCAGGGGACATCTCCGTACAGCCATCGCCCCGTGTGTTTTATGAGCGTCACAGGACAGCAAGAGCCTTGGACGGCATTTCAGAACAGACGCTGTCCCCTTCTGGGGTATCTCTGGTAGGAAACATACTCCTCTCCTGCAGCAGGGCAGGAGCAGCCTGCGAGGAAGCTGAGCCGCTTCCCGTAGCCCAGGATTCCTGCCCAGGCGCAGGAACTGCTCAGTTGCCCGCGAGGGTTTCCTGCGTGTCCGCCTTGCTCCTATAGCAGCACTTCTCAACCTGTGTCCCGTAGCCTTTAGAGGGCAGGGAGAGGAACTGCCCCAGAGCGCGCTTCTTGGCAACCCCGAGTGCGGGATGTAAAAAGCAATAATATTAGTAAGGAGAAGGGGCTTTGCACCTCCCTGAGACGTGCCCGGCCCGGCGCTCGCTCCGCGCGGGGCCACACGCTCT